AAATATCTGGTGGGCCACGGGTTCCCCACTTCTGCTTTACACAATGAGAACATTTGCTTACATACACACTGGAAGAACAAATACCATAAAGTGTGAAGCAGAAAGTGGCATTTGGCCACAGCTCCTCACCAAACTTATGGGTTTGCAACCAGGGCTTCTCAGTCTGCATCTACAGAGCTTTGTTTCTGCACCACAGTTCACAGAACAGATCTGTCACAAGCATATGAATCAGCCGCATCTATGATTTTCCCCTCAACAGCCCTTCAAATTGAGATTTTTTCCCCCCAATTGGTATCTGCATTGGGCATAAATGAATTTTATGTATGTGCTGTATGGTGATAATGTTTTAAACAGGTTTCTTTTTTCATTCTTATTTTTTTTAAATGTTTTTATATATGAAATTTTAAAACTGTTTCCATATATAGTTTTCAGATAAAGTAACCCCTCATTTTATGTGCATTTGACTTGCACGATTTCAACCGTACGCAGCTGAAGAACGGATGATTGAAATTGGGCAAGTCAAGTCTAGCTTGGGATGCTCTCGCAAGATATTGTGGGGCAATTTGTGTTCCTGTGAGATCTCGCTGAGAGCCAGTGTGGTGTAGTGGTTAGGAGCGGTGGACTCTTAATCTGGTGAAACGGGTTCGTGTCTCCACTCCTCCACATGCAGCTGCTGGGTGACCTTGGGCCAGTCACACTTCTCTGAAGTCTCTCAGCCCCACTCACCTCACAGAGTATTTGTTGTGAGGGAGGAAGGGAAAGGAGAATGTTAGCCGCTTTGAGACTCCTTCGGGTAGTGATAAAGTGGGATAGCAAATCCAAACTCTTCTTCTCTTCTTCTCCTCGCTTGAGCATCTCTAGACTTCTGGAGTCTGTGTGCTCTTTTCACACCAGGTAACCCCAAGCAGACTTGATGCAAAAAGAGCTTTCAAGATCTTGGTCTTGCTTCGAGGGCAAGGCCCCCTCAGCCCAACAGCTCTGGAAGAGCTGGTGAAGCTCTCTCTCCACCCACCCCTCTCACCTGCTAGCCATGGGCTGGTTCAAGGATTTGGGTATATGAGATTTTTGTGTATATGCAGAACCCTTGGAACCAAACCCCCACACAATATGAAGGATTACCGTGTAATAAATCGCTTTGGAGTCCCTCATGGGAAGCGATTAATAAACGAAACAACAATACAAACAGAGTTAAAACACCAAGAGGAAACTGCTCCTGATGAATTGGAAAGAAAACCTGAGGAAGGTATAACTTCGAACTTATTATAGGCCAATCCAACATACTTATACTGCAGAGCAATGTTAGCACTTGACACTAATTTATCACAGGGCACCGCACATTTATAAATGCACACTGACAAACGTTATCTTAAGCATTGTTGCCAATTCTGAAGGTGAACAGAACTCTGAATTAAACGACTCTTGCATTTCTGCGTACTGGGACAAGCTAATTAAACCCTTGGTGTTCGGAGCAGACACCTGGAAATTAAGATCGGAACCACAGACAACCTTCATGCTCAAGAACACAGAGTTGGTAGCAGCAAAGGGCTGAGGCACATGCTGGCTTGCCACAATTCACTGTTTTTAGGTGCATTCGTGGGCAGGTAGGAATAAGGGAAGCCTGTTAAGGCCACTTCTATTATCAAAAGGGCCCAAGGCAAATTGTTCCACGTGCAGCTTAAAGTAATTCCAGCTCATCTTATTTCATTTCATTGGGGGTGGGGCACGTAATACAAGTAGCAATAGCCTAGGATAGCCTTGAACATATAAGCCATAGAAAAATGGTTGTTAGAAGCTTTTCCCCAGGTGAAAAGCCAAAGGGTGGCATGTAACTAACCCATTCTGTCAGCAAAAGGATTTCCACATGCACAATGGAACTTCCTCCCTCTCTTCTCCTCCCACCAAACCTGCTCCTTCTAGGGGAGTACAACCCCACTCAGAACAGGCCGTCTCCTCTCCTCCTGGAATTAAGAACTTTGAACACATAACCTCTCTGCCTTGTCTTATCATGATTCACCTTCAGTTTATTGGGCTGAGGTGTTTTTTTTTGGGGGGTGCTTCTTGAGGAGGAGTTTGTTTCTGTTGCACAGGACAATTCCCATGGCACTCAACTGTAGTACCATATAACTACTTTCTGGAAACAATTCTGGAGGTAGGAGCAAGAACCACTTAAGTACAATGCCTACAACCTCCCTGGGCTGCCTTCAGAAGAATACCATGGTCAATAGTTTCAGAAGCCACCAAGAGCTAAAGGAGAATGAGCAGGACTATATTCTTTCTATCTCCCACAACAAGTGTCATCAACTAAGGTGACCCAGGTGGTTTCAATGCCATGTTTGGACATGAAATCATACTGAAGATCCAGATTGTTCTTGTTTAGTCATTTAGTCGTGTCCAACTCTTCGTGACCCCATGGACCAGAGCATGCCAGGCCCTCCTGTCTTCCACTGCCTCCCGCAGTTTGGTCAAACTCATGCTGGTAGCTTCGAGAACACTGTCCAACCATCTCATCCTCTGTCGTCCCCTTCTCCTTGTGCCCTCCATCTATCCCAACATCAGGGTCTTTTACAGGGAGTCTTCTCTTCTCATGAGGTGGCCAAAGTATTGGAGCCTCAGCTTCAGGATAGGTATAATTAGGTAATCAGGTAGATTATGATTATTTGACACAGGTAGTATTAACTGAAGGACTGTTGCTTATTCAAACCTTCTCTGATACTTGAAAAGTATGTGTCCAGTAAAACAAAAGTGCACTGTAATGAGCAAGGAGTGATGGTTAAAACATGAACTGTCCTGTTGTGTGTTTCTCCAAATGATTTAACTCGGTCAGCCTTCTTATTTGCAATCAAATAAGTAATGTTAATGAGATTGCTTGTTGAGTCAGCACTTCATTTAATTATACATATTAGAGCTCGTTGTGTTAGACCTTCCAAAGGAAGTAGGATTAATTTCTATTGACATGTCTTCCAAAGGAAGTAGGATTAATTTCTATTGATGTGTCTCCTTTTTAGAGCCTTGATAATATTATTGGCACGTCATAGCAGCTAGAGGAAATTAAGCCTTTCCGGCTTTACATTCTAAGGTCCAGTTCCTTCCATAGATTTTCATCCTAATCATATATATCTTGGGTAGGTAGCCTGTTTTCTTTTGAGGGCTGCGTGCATTGGGGGAAATTTGCTGGGAGGGCTGAAACCAGCAGTGGGCGGGGCCTGTTCTAAAGGTGGGCCAAATCACACCTTTTCCCCTTTCCAGAGACTGCTGTCTTGTGGTACCAGAATGAGAAAGCTGGATATCACCCAGGGATTACACATGTAGCACATTAATGGCAAGTTTAACACATAATTTTAAAAGCCAAAAATCCCATACATTTATTTACTAAAGGTATTTTGCACAAAAAAAGTATTCCTTCATCTGCATTTCTTTCTGATGTGAAACTCATTTTTCATGTGCTTTGAAATTCAAATAATGTATTATTTTCTATAAAACATTTTTTTAAAAACAAACAAACAAACACCCTAACACTATAAAGCATTAAGTGCATTGTCCTGTGTAGAAATGCAATTTGTGACTCATATATACATCTGTAGAGGATTCTTAAATGAGATTATTCTTATTTTGAAACTGAAAAATAATTTGCCTTTAAGATGCAATCTCTGTTCCGTTTTTGAAGAAAGTATAATGAAGTTGCCTCCAATTTTAGTAATTTTTTTAGCCTTTCTAAATCATTCTCAAAGCGCTGTAATTTTTAACGCATTCATTTTCTTCATGAGATTTCTGGAGTGTCTTTATTCCTTAATAATGGGGATGTGAAAATCAGGCCAGTTGATTGGAGTAAGGTCACACCTGGAGTTCTCAGGTGCCAAGGAACAACCTGAATAACACAACAATTATGACTGGTTTGGATCAGGACAATCATTAACTATTGTTAAGGAAGCAACTCCATTGTCCCCATAGAAGTGCACAGCTGACACAGGAAAAGAGCTGCCTCTTAGTTTACCCACCCCCCAAAAACCCCATCATTTACATTTTTTATCAAACCATATGATTTTGGGGAAACTGTCTTGATTATTGCCACACATTTTCCTGCCTTGAGCCTTTAAACAAATGAATGGGGACAGGAAATAGAGCTGTAGAGAAGGTGTTGCATCCCTGTATTCATTTAAAAAAATAAATGATTGCAGTCTTGTGTGTATCATCTCTCTCTCTCTCCCTCCTTCCTACATAAAACATTTATTTATAATTGAGTTTCAGTTCATTCCATCTGCGCCTTTTTGGGCTATTGCTGCAAAACAAAAAGGTACCAATTAAATATTTATACACAGGCACCTGGCATTTTGGAACTGTGCACTTGTGGGAAGCCGTGCCAACTTTCGGAGTGGGCTCACTCTTTTTGCAGCTGGAGCTAACGGCAGGCAGCTAGTGGGAGCAGCCTCCTTGCCCTGTTGGGAATGAATAATGTTGCTTGTTGTTCAATGCTGTTAGTGGAGGGGGAAGTTATTTTCATAGGGATTTAATAGTTAGGGGGAACAGTAGATCGAGGACACTTTCCCTCTCCTACATCAAAGAGGTGGCACAGCTCAATCTTTTCCAGCAAGCTATTTCTGTGTTTTCACTGACAAGTGACCTAAATGATCAAATTTGCCGTTGAAATGCACATTATTTAGATGCTGCTTAAATATTTGGCATTGTGACATGCACATGGTGAATGCTGAAGCTCTCCTAAAATGCTAAAAATAAAAGTATTGTATATTTATTTGAAACAGAAAAGAGCAATGGAAAAATAGGCCACTGCAATCCCAATGAGAAGTCATATAAAATGGGTGTAGGAGACAATTAACACAACCAATTAATATTAATGTTGAAAGAGCAAAACATTTTTCATTAGAAGGAGACATAATTAATTTACATGGTTCTAGTTACAGGTAAGTAGCTGTGTTGGTCTGCCGTAGTCAAAACAAAATAAAAAAGTTCCTTCCAGTAGCATCTTAGAGACCAACTAAGTTTGTCATTGGTATGAGCTTTCGTGTGCATGCACATGTGTGTATCTGAAGACGTGTGCATGCACACGAAATCTCATACCAATGATAAACTTAGTTGGTCTCTAAGGTGCTACTGGAAGGAACTTTTTAATTTACATGTTTATTTGTGCAGGAAGGCATCATGCTAACTTTTTCATATGTCCAGGAGGGACTGAAACAAGTTAATAATTCCTATGAAAACTCTTAGACTTGCCTGACTGATCTTCATAAATGTGGGATGGGAGTACAATCTAAAATATCAGAGTTCTCTGAACTTATGGGCTTAAAAAGTGTGTGTATTTAGAGTAGAACTAAGGAATGGAAAAAAATTCATGTTGCATTCCCTTAAGGGGAATCTTAGAAGCTACAGAATGAAAACTGTCAGGATATCTCTGCATTAATTCACAACAGAGTGCTTTTCATTTTAAATCAATTCATGGTAGCTTCTCGTCTAAGGGATCAATAATATTTGATCCGATCCAGACCTGCTTGGTATCTGCTCTAGATACACCTACATCCATTTGCTGCCCTCTCAAATACAACTGCCCATCAGACTGAGAATCTTTCTTCCAACACTGAGATACTGTCATCCACTATATCAGAGGGTAGCAGGCTAGTTTAGGGGGTGAGGGACAGGTTACATGGAACTCACAGCACAGTCTCCCCCTCCACTGTTTCTCTGCCATTTTCTTCTCCCACCCCAGCATGCGCCATCTCAAGAAGCCCCCATACTCTGCCTAATGGCATGGCCAGCCCTGCCTAGATTAGATCCCTATTGAATACTCTAAACCAGTGTTTCCCAAACTTGGGTCTCCAGCTGTTTTTGGACTACAGTTTCCATCATCCCTGACCACTGGTCTTGATAGCTAGGGATGATGGGAGTTGTAGTCCAAAAACAGCTGGAGACCCAAGTTTGGGAAACACTACTCTGAATTAAAAGACTGAGTTGTATGCAACTAACTCATTCCATCAGTGGAAGGATTTTCACTTGCACAACAGAAGTTCCCCCGCTCTCCCCTCTCTGTGTGTGCCCCATGCCCTCCCATGGATTGGCCCATGGGCAGGAGGCTCCCCAGATAATAAGATGGACCACTGGGCTGACATTCGTTTTGACATAAAGCAATTTCCTGTGTTTCTATGCTGAGGGAGAAACAACAGAGCTAAGGAACAAAAGCTTCTACTCCATTTCTACAAGTCACTACAAACACAAGAGCAGAATCTTGATTTACTTTTAGATGTTTATTGGAAAACCAGGGTTTGGATTAACAGAAAACCAAATTTAGCCTCAGGTTCACACTGCATAGGGCGGGAACTAACACACTGACTGTCCACCCACTTGAAATACGGCTGCTATGGAACCATAAGAAAAGGCAAAGTGACCCAGATAGTAGATGTACATGTAAATAATGTCAGGAGTAACTATATTTGGACATGACAGCATGCTTTTAAATAACATACTTGGAACGCAATGTGCCAAAATGTTGCACTAGAAGTAAAGGAAGGTGACACAAATGGGGTTTTTTTTAATAAGGGCGCTCGTCTTCCACAGTTAGTTGTTCTAGTCATTTAAATGATAAAAGCTAAAAGGGACAATGTCTCCTATGCATGTTATATAACCCATGACACCCAGAGATATACAGTACTTAAATTAAGGAATTAATAAAATGGGGGAAGGGGAAGCCCAATATAAACAGTAGAGATTTTGAGTTGCTTATTTATTCTTTCCATGCTTATTACAATAAAAAAGGGGAACAATACTGAAAAGGGTGTGCAACTGAAGAGGGGAGGGAAAAGGAAAAAAATGAAATTTACACAATCTGTTATTAAGATAAAAATTATGACAAAAATTTGTGATTACAATTTCATGTTACAATAAAAGTAAAAAATCTCATTATCTTTTACACCCGACTTCCCATTTATTCCTTAATTCTTTTTACATAAACTTACTGCCATTATTTATTCATTCAACCAGCCACCTGAATTATTTCCTGTTGTTGTCTATTAACTACTTAATAGTTAATTGTTAATAGTGAAAAGTGCCCTAAGATACTTTGGACTGCAACCACGATCCATCCCGGACAGTACAGGAGTTGTAGTCAGGAGCATCTATAGCAGAGGTTCCCAAACTGTGGTCCACAAGCTTCATTCAGGTAGTCCCAAGGCATGTCCACATTAAATATTCTCATTGGTTTTAATTGTATTTTTATTGCTTCTTTTCTTTCTTATATTGTATTTTATTGTATTGAGAACTGCATTCTATGGAAAGCAAACCTAAACATAACAAAATACTATTAAAATCAATACAGCTTCCAGCACAATGCAATGCAATTGCTACAATAGGCAGAAAAATCACTATGTGACCCACCAACACCATCAACAATTCTTAAGCAGTCAATGGTTGGGGGAGGGGGGTGTAGAGTGTAGCAGCTTGGTGAAGGCTGAGAGAGACCATGTCACATTTCTGTAACAGCAGAATTTTGGAACAGCAGAACTTCTGGAACAATTTGGCTAATGGTCTGTGGTAAACTAATGGAATACAACTTGTTTAAGATCATAGGAATTTGACCATATTAACTACCATGAAGCCATTCTGTTGCTACTTTCTACTTCTCCCATCCAGGAGCTCATTCACATTGGAGTTTAATGTAGATTAGAAGCTGTCCGTGTCTCTTTTTTATTACTTTGTTTGCAGCATCCATCCGGTGGGGGGGGGGGAATGTATGAATTCCTGTGACTCACGTGTGTGAGGTAAAGAACAAAAGAACTGGCTTGGTGCCTGGATTCACAATGCGTGGCTTTGCACACTCCCCAGCAACAGAGAGCCCCCAATAGCAGAGTTGAAACTCACAAAAGTAGAAGAGAAGAAGAGTTTGGATTTGATATCCCGCTTTATCGCTACCCGAAGGAGTCTCAAAGCGCTAACATTCTCCTTTCCCTTCCTCCCCCACAACAAACACTCTGTGAGGTGAGTGGGGCTGAGAGACTTCACAGAAGTGTGACTGGCCCAAGGTCACCCAGCAGCTGCATGTGGAGGAGTGGAGACGCAAACCCAGTTCACCAGATTACGAATCTACCGCTCATAACCACTATACCACACTGGTAATTTGAGGTTGTTGTTGTTGTTTTACAATCAAGCCATGCATAAATTTCATGAGTGAAAGCAGTCTTGCTGAACTTGATGCATTTTTGTATTTTATTTTTTATTCCATGCTGGATGTGGTTATGGCCACTTTATGGTACTTTCTGGATGAGACCTGAGTTGACCTTTGCATAGAGCACTCCAGCTACATGCAGTATACTTGAATATTTGTTTTATTTGTCCACATGCAGATCCTTCCCCAGCACGCTAAAGGCTGCTTGAGAAAAATGACTTGGAAAGAGTCGGTTATCCAGTGGAACTGATTGGCAGTAGGTACAGGACAAACAAAATGACACAATCCTTCTCAGAACACAATAATTAGCTTATGAAACCCATCACCCGAAGATGTTGCAATGGGCACTGGCACAGATGGATTTTTAAAAACAGATTAGACAGGTGTGCCAATGGCTATTAGTTACCATCAGGAAGATTGGAAACTTATGTTCGGAGGAACTACTGCTCTAATTATCAGATACTGGGGGATAAGCAACACAAAATCCATCCTTCATGCTACATTTGTGAATATCCCAAGTCCATATGGCTGGTCCCACTGAAGACAAAGTGCTGAACTAGTTGGATCTGATCCAGCTGAACAAGTCTTCCATTCTTATATTTCCATTTGGCAGAACAGAAAAGTTGATGGGCTACAACTCCCATGATCCCCCAAGCTTGGCTGTACTGGGGAGTCCAACTAGAACTTGAGTGGCTCTCCATAGAAACAAACATGGCGGGTCAGACTCAACTAACTGGTCCTGCTAGCAGATGTCTGCTCAATGACTTTTGCTAGTACAACAGGTATTTACCCATCTCCTTGCCCTCACTCCTCTAAATTGGTTGGTGGGAGGTCAGGAGAAACACACCCCCCCTCACACACAAAAACCCACCATGTGGTGACAGAGGAGGGAAGATCATTCCAACAGGCACACAAAATGCCTGCACTCCTGAGGCAATCTCCTTAGCACTATGTTGAATCCCTCCCATCAGGCTGTATTCAACTACAGTGGTACCTCTAGTTGCGAACACCTCTGGATACATATCCTTCAGGTTATGCATGCGGCAAACCCGGAAGTAACAGAAAGGTTTCTGCCCCGCACACATGTGCAGAAGTGGCGCCTCTGGATGCAAATGTTTCGGGGTAAGAACGGACCCCTGGAATGAATTCAATTCGTATCCAGAGGTACCACCGTAAGTCCAACTCGAAGTAGACCCACTGAAATGACTGCACCCAAATGAGTCGTGGTGATTAACTTCAAGGGGGTCTACTCTGAACAGGGCCAGCATTAAATACAGTGGTACCTTAGTTGCTGAACTTAATCTGCTCTGGGAGTCTGTTCGACTCCTGGAACTGTTCGAAAACCAAGGCGTGGCTTCTGATTGGCTGCAAGAGCTTCCTGCACTCAATCGGAAGCCGTGGAAGCTGTGTTGGATGTTTGGCTTCTGAAAAACGTACGCAAACTGGAACACTCACTTCCAGGTTTTCGGCGTTCAGGAGCCGATTTGTTCAGGAGCCAAGCCGTTTGAGAACCAAGGTACCACTGTACTACCCAATGGGCTGTATCCAACTTAGTTCCACTCAGAGCCAACCCTTTGAAAGTTAGCCATGCACATTTATTTTAATGGGTCTACTCTGAGTAAGTAGATAGATCACAAGATCTTCCATTTCTTCCTCCATGCCACCAAATAATCCCCCCACCCCACTTGACTGGCCCATGGTCTCTTCAAGAAGAGCCCGGTTCTTTTATTTATCAGTGCTGTCTTCCATTTTGCTCCTCACCCTTTGATTCCTCAGGCAAAAATGATATTGTGAAGATATTGTGGTTGAAGGGCCAACCTATGATTGTGTAGGACCTCAAACCTAAGCATCCCTGCTACAACATTCTATCCCAGCTAATATTTATTATGAAAAGTTATATAACCATCTAGCTAC